ATAATAATAATAATAATAATAATAATAATAATAATAATAATAATAATAATAATAATAATAATAATAATAATAATAATAATAATAATAATAATAATAATAATAATAATAATAATAATAATAATAATAATAATAATAATAATAATAATAATAATAATAATAATAATAATAATAATAATAATAATAATAATAATAATAATAATAATAATAATAATAATAATAATAATAATAATAATAATAATAATAATAATAATAATAATAATAATAATAATAATAATAATAATAATAATAATAATAATAATAATAATAATAATAATAATAATAATAATAATAATAATAATAATAATAATAATAATAATAATAATAATAATAATAATAATAATAATAATAATAATAATAATAATAATAATAATAATAATAATAATAATAATAATAATAATAATAATAATAATAATAATAATAATAATAATAATAATAATAATAATAATAATAATAATAATATAATAATAATGAACCGCATCGTATTTATTTTTGAACTCTCTTGTTTCCATCCGTCTATTGGGTCAAATTGTGCGGAAATAAAACGCCAGATGACCTCAACATAGATGTAGTGGTTTACGGTTGTTGACGGAATCTCAGTACGAACTTCACCGAGACTGATCGGTTAGGGCCGTGTTAAAAGTGTGGAAGTGCTTGTTCTATTCGTCACACCATTTCGGCTCCTAGTTGCCATGCAACCCAAAGAAAGCACAACCACCGAGATGCTGGTAGGTTGCCTAAACCTAAACAGAAGCATTCGAAAAGCCAGGGTTGTTTTCGAATCGAAACTTTGCGGACAATAGTTTCGCCCCTTAAATCCTCACCTATCTCAAGCTCAGTACACGAAACAGCTGGGAAATTGGCACCGTGACAATTGGCTCCGTCGAGGGAATCAGGTGGCCGGGTTGTCTTACCACAGAAACTTGAAGTTATGACCATCATCCTCTTCGACTTAATTTGTGATAATGTTGACACTTCGCACCGACCGATTCAACATCACAACGATATACCATCCTGGTAGAACCTCATTAATTGACATATTTGTAATCCGTTTGGGACTGGAGGTTTCATGAACCCAGTGCAAACTGCCTGCGTTCGACGCGTAGAGGGGAGTTCTCTGAACCCCACGGGTTTTCCCGCACACGAGAGTGTATTACTCCAGTTCATTCTTCGGGTA